CTGTACAGTAAAACATCTGGACACAGCTGTGCCTTCATATGTTGATGTAACTGTGACTTGTAAGTAGATGGCATGTATTTTTAACCTGAAGTTCATTAACATTATAGCTTGCAGCGTGTCCTGTTTTATGATTCTGACTACATGTTTACAGGGCATACAAAGATACAGAATGGCTCAGGATGTGTGCTTCAGTCTGAGGGTTTGACCTGTGTGTGCATCAGTGAAGGCTTTCCTTTACCTAACATCACATGGCCTCTGTTGAATCACCACACTGAGTACTCTGTCATTACTAGTGTATCAAACCACACAGTCAACAGCACTGTCAGTCTCACTGTAAAAAACCATGGCAACAGCACTGTTGAATGTGTTAGCAACAATGGAAATGGAGAAGTAAGAGAGAACCTGCTGATCAATAACAACTTGTCCAAAAAAGATGGTAAGTTTTGTTTGGTTGTTGCTGTTGTTTTAAATTAAAACCCTTTCTGTAACACTTTTAACCACTTGACATTTTTACTACCATTTTTGGACCCATGTAATCTATGACCTATGTAATTAAGACAATCATTAGACTAGCCATTAGGTGTGCTGTATATAATTCAATATGTGAGTTAACAGGTTTTTCATGTTGTTTCCTTCGAGTGCAGAGCCGTCATCGGGTCTTAGGTGGCAATTTCTGGAAATTATCATTGCATTTTTGATTGGTGCAGGTCTTTCATCAGGTGTTTGCTTTTTGGCAAAAAAGTGCTACAGGTACAGGATTTATTTTTGTAGTTATTATTAATGTTTCCGTGTAGATGCAAATTAAGATTCATTTCAACATTGTTTCTGTAAATATGCCCTTTTCTACAGGAAAGAAATGACGAGTTCTGGACATTTGAATGACACTTTTGTGATGCTGACACGTCCAGATGACCCACTGGTATTTATGTTGATTCATCTTTTTTGATATAACTTAAAATAATAAAATAGGTTTCTGCACAAATATCTTGCATACATTTGAAAGAAGTCTTACTGCTGCTGGTAATCCACACTGGATTCCACTGGATAAAACTCATCATTTCAAGGCATAAAAATAAAAATCTTTCACATCTCTGTGTTACATAAAGGCAGATGTATATGCATAGTATGTAGATAGGAATCTCTCTCTCTCACACACACACACACACACACACACACACACACACTGAACCATCTCTTATATTAAAACAAACCACCCCACCAAACTAACCACTCACTGCACAGCGCTATCAGGTGAAACAATAATAAGTCAGCTCAGTCCATCAGGACTACACTAAACAACAACACACAAGACAGTGTCAGGAAAGTTGATTGTTTTCCAGAAATGAAAAGCCAATCCTTTAATGAACACTACATATTATACAACTTTAGATAGGTGCATCATTGAAAACATGGGCTGACAACAAGGCATAGCTGTAATGGTAGGCAGAGGCTTCCGAATAAAGTGACGCTGCCTTTATTCTGCTAGGCGACGTTTAACACTGCCTAGCAATTTACAGGTTCACCCCTTACACCAGCACAACGCAGGAAGGGACAGATGGAGAGAGAAACCAAACAAATAGGATAGCTTGACTTAGAATATGGCGCAGAACTCACACCCTTTGAAGCATGAAAGAATACACACTAGATAAATGGATAGTTTGCACAATGTTGGGCTGCCTGTAGCTGATAAATGACTGAAACAATTTACTTTGTACCTATCAGATATATGATGGTCAAGCATTACAAAACAACCAGACCCTGAACTCAAACAGTGGGACAAAAGAAGTGGAATATGCCACCATTGATTTTTCCCTGTTAAAAACAAAGCCAGCAAGGACGCAAGAAAGCACAAAGACGGAGTACGCTGAAATAAAGAGGATAATAAAAAAAGAACAAGTAGATGATGATGGAGACGACGGTAAAATGTTGGAGGGGGAGATGAAACACTGTGAACCAGAAAAGAAGGAAGGGGAAGATGAGGCAGTGTACTCCACTGTGAATGACATAATAGATGATAATTGAGGAATTCTTTTGTATAGTTGCTAAGGATAAATATTGATCTCTTCAGATGTAATTGATGGATGGATGGATTTCCATTTTGTGTTTGAATTAATTTTTGAATTAAAATTTCCATTTTGTGTTTGAATTAAAATTTTCTCTATGTTGTAAACTTCACAAATATTAACAAATCAAACCTTACAGGGATGAAAATGTTACCTCTGAATATAATGCTCTGCAATAGTTTAATGATTACACATATTAGAAAAATGTCATGGTTAAGCAATTTTTAGATGTCTATACTTCTTTACTATAAAATCTTGCCCAATGACATTTAGCTGTAGTAGTAAATATAGTGGCTTAACTTTTTTTTACTGTATTCTTGATGTATTTTGCAGATTTTTAACGGTTTAAGTTTCCATTTGGCAGATGGCCAACACTGACATTGTCTGGCCACATATATTTGAAAGTGTACAGCCAAAGTGTGACAAATGATCTTTGGAGTTTCCTTTTAGTGCTTTCACAAAATGCCATTTTAAACCATGTTTTTTGTACTTTGTATTCTTGCTGAAAAATGTACGTCTTTTTGCTTAGTAAATTTATTTTTTCCCTGTCTTGCATGAGATCATTTATTTTCTTTTTGAGTTTTTATCCGACACGTTCATCAAGTCAGAATGTTTATTTTGACCAAATCATTTGTTTTATACCAAACAATCTATTTCAAGCTAATGATATAACTAGCTTCAGTGGTTCTAATGCTAATGTCAAAAGTCCCCGAACACTCCTTAAGTACACAATAACAATGCACGTGTAAGGGTTCCTAAAAACAATATACAAAAGTCTTTATAGCTTAAAATTACAAGCAGTCTGCATGCTCACTTTCAACAAGCACACTACAGTTTACATATTATTTGGGGCTGTTTTTAAGTTGCTTGCTCAAACAACAGTTTTCTCATTCCAGCAGTCAAAATCAGGTTATGACAGTAATGATGAAATTCCCTTTTTTCAGTATGGTAACGTATTTCCCTACAAAACGAAGCGTGCAACATTTTCTTCAGGAAAGGCATATCAGTTCTAAGACATGGCCAACAAGTGCTTAAAGTGCAAAGAATATAAACAATTTTTGATTTTATGGCTACAAAATATCAACACTCTTTATATATTCATATACTATTTATTTTCATTTACTTGCCTCTAACAAGGTTTTGCATTCATCCTGAGCAGTATGCGCCATCTAGTGGCATCTTTGAGTAACATAAGTCAAGTACAACCAAACCCAGCATCTGTACTTAAAGACACAACAAAATTTTAAAAAACTCATCCTGCTTTTAACTCAAAATTATCTGTGATTTTTACATGATCATAACCTTAAATATTTTTTATAGCTTATGTTTTTAATTTATCCACACATATTATTAACCCTTAACACACTCTGTACACATGATTTTAACCCTTAGCGTTATATTCCTGGTGTGTCATGGTTGTTTTATACTTTACAGATAAGCGGACCACCTCTGCATCCTCACTAAGGGTGGCTCTTTTATGTTTGTTTCAGTTTTTAGCCCCTGAAGTTGCTGCTTAATCTTTGCTTATAGCTCCTTCTGCAGAGGTCCTCATTCCCATCTCCTCCAGATGTATTTTAGGAACTAGGAATTCCTCTAAGGCAACACACTGAGATAAATTTCCAAATTACAGGCAGAAGGATGGAGAAGAAAGAAATGGAAGCATAAAATGTGAGAGAAATGAGAAAAGCCCACACTCTCAATAACAGCCATCTCCAGATTTAAATGTCATGAAAATGTTATTCATGCTTTTGTTTTCTCTGCTACTGTAGATTACTTCAGCTCTTTTCAGCAGCACATTTTCTCATTGGTATTAGAAAATAGACCAACATACTGCAATCCTGGCTATTGACTTGGAATTGTCACTCATTCTTTTTAAAGCATGTGGTATCTCGGCTCCAAGTTAAAAGCACCACACGTGTTGACCCTATAGCAATCTTACATTCTCCCCTCACTTTTCTATTTTCTTATACAAGAACTCAAGAAAAAAGTTCAACTCAAAAAAAGAAAAGAAGGAAACTCTGGCCTTTCTGTTCCAGAAGGAGAGTTCATTTAAACCCTGAGTCAGTCACTGGGGTACTTTAGATCATCTGAAATTGTCCAACAATTCACATGCATTTCATCTGAGATTTTAGAAGCTGCCTTCTGGAAAAAGTACCAGAGCATCCGGGCCCTCACTACAGGACTACGGAAAAGTTTCTTCCCCCCAAGCTGTCAGACTGGAATGACACACACACACACACACACACACACACACACACACACACACACACACACACACACACACACACACACACACACACACACGATGTTACACCTCAAGCTTAACAAGAGGTTTCCATAGATACAGCGAGCACATCAGTGCCTTATATGGTGTTAAAATACACAGTACAGCTGTCACACAATACAAATACGTTACAAAAAAAAAAAAAAAAAATGCTGAAGTATTTGCAGAGATGTTGTATGCAGCTGAAATGGGGAAATGCTGAGTGGCATTCTTTATTTTATTTTGGGCATTTTACTCCATTTAATCTACCATTTTAATACATGCAGTTTTTAGTTTTTGACAAAGCCCATTAATGGCAATATAGTTGTTCTATTTGTGGGTTACTCTGTTGAAGTCACAGAAAAAAAATAAAAAAAACACAATAATCACAATGATATGATTTTACTGGTATTTAAATTCCTCAAAGAACATTTTTCCTACTAAACACTAATTATTCAATCAATGAAATGAAACATATGTATATCATACATATGTGATATGTATGATACGTATGTGTGATGTAATAATAACTTTATCAAAGCCAGTCTGTAAAGTTCAGTGTTATGCTGATAAACATCTGGGAATCCTGTTGCAAAACGAAGGAAGAAATAGAAAAAAGTGAGGAACAGAAACTTTGAATTAAAACGTCAGCACAGATCAGTTCGGACAGAAGAGAGAACAAGAACAAGACAAAAATAGGTAAAGATGGTTTTCAAGTTTATACTTTAAACTGCAGATGAACCATATTTTGTTATATTATTTAACCAATTTTTATCTTATTTATTTTATACTAAACTATTATTGATCTCACTGCTGTAATAACTATGAGTTAACTGTGTATAATACATTGATACAGATAACATAAAACTGTCCTGTTAAGTGCTTAACTATATAAAGATTAAGTCTTTGGAGCAGCCGTAGTCCTCGGTAAAGGATGTACACATCATAATTACAACATAAATAAGCATGTGACATAAGATGTGACTTTCATGAGATGTGTGACTGTAGCTGGAGTCTTTCATTTAATGTAATTTCCGAATGTTTATTTTTAGCATTAATACAAATTTGTCCAGTGGAGGAAGAGATTCAACGTGTCGAGCATCGGATATCAAGCATGTCTGTCCTCATCTTGGCAGCTCTGCTTTCCTCTGTGACATGTAGCAGTGCTGACATAAGTTTGTATCTTCTTCTAAGTAACCTCCTAATTCAGCTGATATTCAATAATCTTTTAACATTTGCATATAAAACTGTTTCATAACATGTATCCAGATTATAAATGATCTATTATCAACCAGAATTTATGATAATTTAGTATTATTACTGTCTCAAGTAGTAATGTATCAAGGATCAGACACGATCTTTTACTGTTTGAAACTAAAAACTGTCTATTTTTTTATATTTCCCTTGCATTAATAGGTGCCTCAGCCTGGGGACGACAACACTGTGTCAGTGGATACTGTGTCACTCTCAATGAGGGAGAAGTAACAGTAGAGGCTGGGCTCTGTGTTGTGATCCCGTGTTCTTATAGGACTGGTGATGGCTTTACACCTAAACATATAGCTTGGTATAAATGTGAAGTATCTGAACCAAGATGTGGTAATCCAATCATGATATTTCACACCAACAACAGCATTAAAGTTCAATCTGGGTTTAAAGCCCGAGTGTCCTTTTTGGAGCCTGATCTGAGCCAGAACAACTGCAGCATCTTCATTAATAAGCTAAAACAGTCTGATTCTGGATCATATCACCTCAGAGTTACTGGTGAACTGAATGGAAAACCTGATGGATTTTCATTCTCTCCAAGAGTGACTGTTTATGTAAAAGGTATAAAAATGTAGACTAAAACAAAAACATGCTTGAAGTCTTAAACACCCTAAATGTATAACCAAAAATCAAAAATGAATTGTTTCCATTAGGTTTTAAGCTGAAGCCCACAGTAATGATTCCCACACTGACTGAGGGACAGCAGGCCACACTGACCTGCACTGCTCCTGATCTCTGCTCTGGATCTGTTCCTGAAATCACCTGGACATGGAGAGGAGCAGGAGGGACTGAATCTTACATTACAGGAAACAGCACTGATTACAAGACTGAGAATCTGACTGATGCAACACAGAGTCCTGTCTCAACTTTGACCTTTAACCCATCAGCTAAACATCACAACACGAACGTCACCTGTAAGATCAGTTTTACAGGTGAAACAATTACAGAAGAGACTTCAACCTTGAATGTGAACTGTGAGTACTTTGCTACAAACATAAAATGTTGTGAACCTTGTTGAATTGTACAACTTTTGGGGAGAAAAATGTAAGGAAGTTATTTTTTTTGTCTTTTTGACTCATAGACTTGAAAGAAGTTAAAATACGTGGTGTTACAAGGGTGAAGGAGCATGAATCACTGAATCTGACCTGCAGTGTTGAAAGTTTCCCTCTATCTCTGATTAGGTGGTCCAGACTTAGTTCTGACACAAACCTGAAAAGTGATTCGAGATCAGCAACATTTATAATCCTAAATGCAACAACAAAACATGCTGGACAGTATGTTTGTACGGCTCAATATATGAACAATACTCTGAAGGAGAAAGTCACTGTAAGGGTGATGTGTAAGTTCACAATTTTGTGCTTTCAAAGAAAAAAACAATTTTTTTAAACGGTCTTCTGAAAAAGAGACAGGATTACTTTCATAAAGAACATTCCTGGAAAATGAATGTAGTTATAGAAATGGAAACATTGTAAATATTGTGTGTATATTCAAGAGAAAACCTCCAGTGAGATTCTACAATAATCAAATTGTCCTTTAAATGCTGATTGATAGAAAATAACTGTGCACATGTTAAAGACACTGTATCAGTTTAGTTTGTTGTTAACATTAGCATCTACAATTTAGTGCAGAAGCTCACTCATATTTTTGTGGTAAATGGTTATATGTTATTGTCTCCTTCCTTAAATAAACCAAGTAAATGTGCTGCACAGATTACAGGAAACCTCAGATCGCTGGGAGAACGGTCGTTAAAGAGGGAGATGTTCTGAATCTAACCTGTGGCATTGAAAGTTTTCCTCCAGCTCTTATTGTTTGGAAAACGTTGACTTCCAATATAAATCCTTACAATGGAACTAACAATGATCTGTACAATGACACTGGATCAGCTACACTTGTTATCCAGAATGTGGCAGCAGAACATTCTGGACAATATGTCTGTGCAGCAAAACATCTGGATACAGTTCTAACTGTAAATGTCAGCGTAACTGTGACTTGTAAGTAGACGGTAATAATCTTCTCAGATCTGCAGTTCACTAATACACATACGTTTATAAACCTGACAGGTAGTCAGCTTCGGTATTGTTTCTGATAGATGAAAGACCATTCTACCTCTTTTTGGTGTTTCAGTGACTATAGTGGAGAGCACTATTAGAGAAAAATAAAGCCAAAACAGAAAATTTCCCTCAGTGTGAAAAATATTGGATCCTATCACTGTATGGATCAAAGGTTATTTTTTAATGGGTTTTTTTAGTATTACATTCATTGTTTCATCCCACTTTACTTGTGTGTCCCACAGATAAAAGGAAACTTCAGATCACTGGCGATACAACTGTAGAAGAAGAAAATGTTCTGAATATGACCTGCAGTATTGAAAGTTTCCCTCCAGCTCTTATTGTGTGGAAAAAAATTAGTAGTAACACAAACCTTCATAGTGGAACTTACCTGTATAATGACACTGGATCAGCTACACTTACCATTCCAAATGTGACAGCACAGCATTCTGGACAGTACATCTGTACAGCAAAACATCTGAATACCACCGTGACTTCTTATGTTAGTGTAACTGTGACTTGTAAGTAGACAGTACTAACCTTCTAGTAAAGTTTAGAATTTCACATAATTGTATAAACATGATAGGTAGCCAAAAACCTTGATCTGTATTGTTACAGTAAGCCTGTTTTAAATGTCATGACATAAAGATAAAGGTGGGTAAGAAAATAGAAATACATTTTCAAAAATAAAACAGTAGTTATCAGGCCACAATGCACTGCCAGAGCAGCTACTGTACAATTTGGCATTGTTTCTCTGGAAAACTACTGGAGCAATGGAACAGTTTTTTGAAAGACATTCCCTCTTTTGGTGTTAAATTTATATTAAAATATTTTTGTTTTAGCCATTTCATCCTTTCTTTATTAAATAAATTACTAAAATGTGTTTCACAGATTCAAGGCAACCTCTGATCAATGGGAATACAACTGTTAAAGAGGGAGATGTTCTGAATTTGACCTGCAGTGTGGACAGTATCCCTCCAGCTCTTATTGTGTGGAAAGATCCTATCTCCAACACAAACCTTCATATTGGAACTTACACTGATCTGTGCAATGACACTGGATCAGCTACACTTGTCATTCAGAATGTGACAGCAGAACATTCTGGACAGTACATCTGTTCAGCAAAACATCTGGACACAACTCTGATTTCTTACATCAATGTGACTGTGACTTGTAAGTAGACAGCACTAATATTTCACTATAATATATTGGAAAAGTAGCCATACTTTTATTTAAAGGTATAATAAAGTGTTCCAAAATTTAGAGTGTGATGTCCCTTCAACTTTTGAATTGTTAAAAGAGAAATAGAGGTGAATTGGTAAATTGAAAGAGAGATAACATAGATGATCTTATTATGACCCTTCATCAATACAAAATATCATATCATCAAAAGTCCACATTAATTAAAACACTTCCTAAAATGTTTAGACCAAATTATGACTACCTTACCAGCATATGTAAGTACTAAACACTACCCCAAGGAAACTTATTATCGATTGATTTGCCACTGTATTAAAAAATTGATTTTAATTGCATTAATGTTATTAATGACATTACTAACTATTATTCCCAAGGATATTCCCTCTTTTAGTGTTTTGATGTGAATAATACTGAGCAGTATGAGGAACAAGGAAACTTAAACCATGCCAACAAAAACATGCTGCCTATTTTACTTGAGAATGGTCAGACATCATCTTATCGAAAGATATTCCCACTTTCTGTGTTTAGGTATCTTGAATAATTATTTTGTTTCCCTCCATACTGTAAATAACGAGGACATTGGTGTCCCTCACTGCATCATCAAGGCAAAAATAAAGCCGAAACATGCTAGCCAAAATGCCCCCTACATGGAAAAAGTATTGTACAAAATCACTCTCTGTGTCAAAGGTTTTGTCATCCATTAGAATATTCCAATATTTTTGTTTTAGCCATTTCATCCTTCTTTATCTTAAATAAATTACTAAAATCTGCTCCACAGATTTAAGGCAACCTCTGATCATTGGGAATACAACTGTTAAAGAGGGAGATGTTCTGAATTTGACCTGCAGTGTGGAAAGTATCCCTCCAGCTCTTATTGTGTGGAAAAAACCTAGCTCCAACACAAACCTTCATATTGGAACTTACACTGATCTGCACAATAACACTGGATCAGCTACACTTGTCATCCAGAACGTGACAGCAGAAGATTCTGGACATTACATCTGTACAGCAAAACATCTGGACACAACTCTGACCTTATATGTTGATGTGACTGTGACTTGTAAGTAGACAGTACCAATCTTCTACTATATTTAGGTCAGCTGTGTTCTCACCTGTTTCCATTCATTGTCAATATGCAGTGTATTTAAGCCCTCAGTTTCCCTCAGTTTCTTGTCTCGTCATTGCCTATTCCTTATGTGTGTTGTCAGTTCAGTCCACTTAATCAGTTTAGTTCAACCTTCCATGTTCTGTTCATCCCATCTTTATAATAAACACCATGCCCATAGTCAGTCAGTATGTGTGTCCTGCATTTGGGTACTCTCTTTCCATTCCCAAACACCTGACTCTCAAGAAAACGTTCCATAGCACAGAGTGTGATTTGCCTTCAATGTTTGAATTCGAAAAAGAGAAATACAAGTGAATTGAAATCTAATTATGGATGAGATACCAATATTACTTCTATTCCCAAGGATATTCCCTCTTTTAGTGTTGGGATGTGAATCATGGAGAGCAGTATGAGGAACAAGGAAACTTAGTCTTTCATGATTCTTTAAAGGTTATCTTGAACAATTCTTTTTTTGCCCTCCATATTATAAATTGCTGAATTCTGTTCCACAGATAAAAGGAGACCACTGATAACTGGGAATACAACTCTTAATGAGGGAGATGTTCTGAATTTGACCTGCAGTGTTGAAAGTATCCCTTCAGCTCTTATTGGGTGGAAAAAAGTTAGTGACAACACAAATCTTCAGAGTGGAATTCACACTAATTTGCACAATGACACTGGATCAGCAACACTTTTCATCCCAAATGTGACAGCAAAAGATTCTGGACAGTACATCTGTGCTGCAAAACATCTGGACACAATTGTGACCGTAAATGTCAGAGTGACTGTGACTTGTAAGTAGACAGCACTAATCTTGAATCTGAAATTCATATTCATACCAAACTCACAATTTACTTTTTTTTATGATCTGGCATTTCTTTTTACAGGGCTATCAAATATTCAAAATGGTTCAGGATGTGTGCTTCAGTCACAGGTCTTGACCTGTGTGTGTATCATTGAAGGGTTTCCTTTACCTACCATCCAGTGGTTGCCCCTCAAGAACAACACTGAGTACTCTGTCATTACTGCTGTGTCAAATGACACAGTCAACAGCACTGTCAGCCTAAATGTAGAAAAGCATGGCAACATCACTCTTGAATGTGTCAGCAACAATGGAAATGAAGAAGCTAAAGAAAAATTCACAATCCACAACAACTCTAAAAAATATGGTATGTTTTCAAATAAACAATTTTTGACCGCAACAATTATTATTTTAGTAACACATAAGAAAACATTTAACTTGTGCAAAATATAATGAAGTAAAAATGTGGTTTTTTTCCATGTTGTTCCTTTGAGTGCAGAGCAACCGTTAGATTTAAGCAAGGGATACCTAAAAGTCATCGTTGCCTTTTTGATTGGGACACTTCTTACAGCAGTTGTTTGCTTTTTGGCCAAAAAGTATTACAGGTACAGCATTTACTTTTCTAATTATTATTAGGTTTTCTCTGTAAATAAGGCTGAACATGAATTTGCTTCTTAAAAAATATAATTCTCAGAAAAAAACAGAAGAGCTCTGGAAACCTTCATGAGACTTTGGAGATGGACAGACGTCAAGATGATCCACAGGTAGTGATGTTCATGTGGCATTTTTTTTAATATAACTGGTATTATATGAGTTTTTGCTCACATGTCTAGAATGCTGAAGTGGCCATATTTACACTTTATTGATTAATATTTCATAATTGTTTTTGCACTACTAAAAGTCTGCAAAGTTGCAAAGATCCAAAGCTTTTGAAATTAAAAACATTAAAACCAATTAAAATAAACCAAAGTACTGCATGTGGATTATAGTGAAGTTTTAACTTTTTAAGCATTGAAAGAAGTTTCATTTAAACTGTAAAAAAGGTTTCTACAATTTGAAAGGAAATGGGCCATTTTCATTCCACAATGAACTGATTTCTTTTACATACCCACCATTTGTCTGTCCGCCAAGTTTAGTTCAAATTGAGAAAGTTAATTTGTGCATAATTTCACTAACAGATCAACTGAAAACATATGCGTTAGAAGAGAAATAACTGCTCATAATGCCAGTTATTTTGCAAGTGTTAAAGCCTGAAAACATTTTTATGAATTGTGTTGGGATTCAGTTTGAAATGTGTATGGTCAAACTATAACGTTTTGTTACCCATGCTCATAGAGTTATGACTACAGATACAGTACAATTAAGGTTGTGTGCCAACCAAACAAATTCACTAATCATAGCAGACTGGACTTGCACACTAAGCAGGAAAAGAGATGCTTTATAACACTGAAACCTGCAGACTTATTCTGGTGAACCAAAATCTAATCATGAACCTATAAATGAGCAAAAATGCATCTTTAACAGCCATGATCAAAAACAACAAATACAAAAACTGCAAAGCATGACAGTAATTCAAGATTCAACGTTGCATCAAGTTGATTATCAGGCCAAAAAAAGTCACAACAATTTAATAACAAAAGAATGTAAAGATACCAGATAGAAATGAACAACTAATATTATTTACTTTCTATCTAACAGGTATATGATGGTTCCCTATTAGAAGAAAATCAGACTCTGATCTTAAACAGTGGACCAAAAGAAGTGGAGTATGCTGACACTAATTTATCCCTTTGAAAAGAAATAGTGCCAGGGAAGCATTAAGGAGGAAAGTGATAAATGATGCTCAAATTAAGAAAGTAGTACAAGAAGAAGGTGGAGATGATGGTGGAGAATAAGGTGAAAGAGGGGGAGGTGGTGGTACTGGAGATAAAAGACTGTTTTCCAGAAAAGGAAGACGGACATAAGGATAAGAATTTGTTTTAAATCTCCATCATGGTCAGGAAAAAGTGCTTGTGGCCAATATGGTTTTTCAGTTTCAAAGAATAAATAATCAAATGTTCCAGTGTCAGCTTGTCTCTCAAATTATCCGAAATAGCATGATATTTTAGAAAAATGTCACAGTTGATACAAATTTTAGATATGTCTTTATTATATTAAAATCTTCAGTTTAATCTTAGTCTTAAGTCTATGTGTTGTGGAATGATTTTTTCCTGTTTTATTGTTGAGATGGCAAATGCCCACCCTGAGATTGTCTTGTCAGAAACATTGAAAAGATATAATTAAAAGTGTGTACATTTATTTACAGTTGCCCTTTTTTACCATACAGCTACTTAATATTTTGTTCTCAGTATTTTGTTCTCAGTAATGTATTTTTCCCAGTTACCAAACTTCATATCTAAGGTCATGTATTTTCTTTTCTCTGAAAACCTCCAGCTTGTAAGAAATTTCCTTATGTTATGTTGGCATGGGTATCCACCATATTGTTCCAGTGGCATTTAAAATTGAATGACATAAATTTAATTTATACAGAGCCAAATCACTGTTGCCTCAAGGCATTTAATATTGTAGGGTAAAAAATCCTAACATATAAAACTGAAAAAAACAAAACAAAACAAAACAAAACAAAAAAAACAGTGAGATTTGACACTTTTGTTTGTAGTGAGTTTTTTTTCTCCTCTACCCTTCACACCATTCACCAATAGGGGGCAGTGTAACCCAGCAGCGGTACATGACAAGTCAGATACTGTGGAGTTGTGATCCTGGTGCTGCTGCACCATGTCTGATGGTTTAGTCAAAGTCAGAACACCTATTCATGCTGTAGCAGTCTGAATTGTGTAACACAAGCAAATACAGGATCATATGTCATAGGTATGTAGTGGAGAGGAGGGCCCAAATGTAATCTCACAGATAGACTGAGTGAAACAAACAAGCCGTTTATTTAGGCTGATGACCAAAATACAAAAAAGGTGAAACACAAAATACAAAAGGGAACTGAAAACCTCTACTTACAGAAATAGCAGACTTACCAAAATAAAACAGGAAGTGAGATAACTGAAGGGGGAAAACAGTCACATGAAAAGACTAAGTGCACCGGGCTTGAGACAAAGAGGGGAATAAAACCAAGGCAGCTGCTAAGAGGGTAACTGCATTGAGTAAGAGGGGCAAATACAAGAGTCAACATAAACATTAGGCAAGCCAGGAATTTATAATACTTAAATAAACTAAACTGGAAAAAAGACCCAGGTCCATGTCATTGCAATCAGTTTCTGATTTTATGCTTGTTTGCACTGCAGACTGTTTCAACATGCAGGTCTAAAAATCACGGGGGGGGGGATAAAATAATTTAGCAGAAAGCAGGGACATGCAAACTGACTCTGACTGAAACCTAAAACTATATTTAAAAAAAAGGCAAATCATTTCCAGAGAAATAATGAAAATCTGAACCGCTTGCTAAGAATTCAAAACCACAAACCCAAAGAGACATAACCGAACAGAGAATATTTAATAATAAACATGAATTCAAAGTTGAAAAACTTTTTCAGTTTGGGTTTTTTTTGTAATTATGAGTTGATGATGACTATTTTATTATATAATATAGAGCATATATAGTGTTACAGGGGTGCACATAAGTGGTGCGCATTCGCTGTCAAAATAAAAGACGCGCACCAGATAAGAAGTTGCAACGTGCGTTTGCGTACATATAAAAGTCACTGGTTTTGTCTGCTGGGATTTTCACGGCATATTCTGCACCACATCTCTGTGCGTTCATCATTCGTTTGAAGCCAGTTCACCTCCTGCAACCACTTTTCCTAGAATACGCGCTTCTTTTGCGGTTCGGGCTCCTTCTGACATTTCTTTGGAGGTGGAGGAACACCAAAGTAATTGCTTAAAGGAGCTTGCTTCTTCGACATCTTTAAGAGTTCTAAACAAATGTCTGTCCTCAACCAGAAAATCCTATTTACGCAAACGCGCGTTCTTATCTGGTTCGCGTCTTTTATTGTGCGCACCTGCGGACCACTTATGTGCACATCAGATAACTTCATAAAAGTGAATGTGTCGTAATCCAGTTTGAATGTATCACACCCTTCCTGAAATCTTGCTGTAAAAATACGGAAGAAAGGAAAAGGAGAAGCTTGAAGATTAAAAGTCAGCAGACTTTCACTGTGGATAGAAGACTGAAGAAGAAATAGACAAAAGAGGTAAAAAAAAAAAAACATTCATTTAATGTTTTTTTCAAAATATCTTTAAAACACTAAACAATATTGTATAAAGGTGTTGACTGTGCTGGTCAAAAAATGTGTTAGTTTGAGAATCCACTGTTCAGTACAGTAGTAACAGTTTTTATTGTATTTGTGCTTTTGTTGAGCTGTAAAAAATATTTTGCTTTGGTCATTTATCTTTTGAGAACAGATCTTTGTTTACGAGAAAAACTTTAGGGTAATGATGTAGGCATACATAACTACGGAATAACCAAGCATGCCACATCCTCTATTACAATGTGTGATGTAAGATGTTGAATTCCCTTAATATCTCTTTACTTCATTTGCTCCAATAAAGTTTCTCACTGGAGGGAGAGACTGCACGTGCTGAGAATCAAGTCAGGATGTTTGTTCTGATCTGGGCATCTTTCTTTTTGTGTAAAAGAGTCAGTAATGCTGAAACAGGTTTGATTCTTCTTGTTTCTAATCTTGTAATTCTGCTTTATCATTTTTGTTTTATACGGTTATATGTGCAGGTGTGTGTGTGTGTGTGTGTGTGTGTGTGTGTGTGTGTGTGTGTGTGTGTGTGTGTGTGTGTGTGTGTGTGTGAGTATTAAAAGTGTTTTTTTGAAATGCATTCAGATTATAAGTATTCATTATTGAAGTAGAATTCATCATAAATTAATCCAACGATTCAAATGAACCAAATATTCTTTTCCTCTTTTTTTTACCTCCTCCTTTGTAATAACAGGCACATCACAACAATGCAGTGGACAATACTGCATCGCACTTAGTGAGACACTAACAGCAGAGGCTGGACTCTGTGTTGTGATCCCGTGTTCTTTCACTACTGCTTTTGGATTTACACCCAAACATATAGTTTGGTACAAATGTGAAGCATATTCAAGATGTGACTATGATCACGAAATAATATTTCACAGCAACAAAAACAATATCCGTGTTCAGTATGGCTTTGAAGGACGTGTGTCACTCTTAGAGCCTGATATAAGACAGAACAACTGCAGCATCATCATTAATGATCTCAAAGAGTCGGATTCTGGATTGTATCGGATCAGAGTTAATGGTGAACGGAAATGGAGAGAAGATGGATTTGCATCTATTCAAAAGACAACTGTCTCAGTTGAAGGTACAAACACTGCATCAAAAAAAGGATGTTGAGAATAAATATTGGTTTTTGTGCTACTTTATGTATTCATTTTTTGTCTCAAGTATGAAGTGATTTTGCACATTTATTTACCCCTGTGTGCTGTTAGAACGAAATACAACACTTTATGTTCCACATCTACCTGCTTAACATAATTTCCTATAATTTAAGCCAAAATATAAGTAGTTGATGAACTTCAGGCAGTTAACCAGATTATTCTTACGTTCTATGTTTCCACTAGGTCTTAGTCAGAAACCCAGAGTTAAGATTCCCACACTGACTGAGGGACAGCAGGCCACACTGACCTGCACTGCTCCTGGTCTCTGCTCTGGATCTGTTCCTGAAATCACCTGGACATGGAGAGGAGCAGGAGGGACTGAATCTTACATTACAGGAAGCAGCACTTCTTTCAGGACTAAAACTCTAACTGCTTTCACACAAAGACACATTTCAACTCTGACTTTCAACTCCTCTGCTGAACACCACAACACCAATGTCACCTGTAAAATCCGCTTCACTGGAGAAAAAACTACGGAGGAGGGTTCAACTTTAAAAGTAAACTGTGAGTATTTTCACTATATAACTTTGTATGCTGAATTCTTTTGAAAGCAGTGTGCTCTCTTAGTCAGATGGTCTTACAGGAAAGAGAAAAAGAGAAGTTTTATTAATATGTCATTTTTATTTCTGTGTAACAGATGTTAAGGAAGTTAACATCACTGGGGGCACAAATGTGAAGGAGGGTGAAACTCTGAACCTGATCTGCAGTGTTGAAAGTTTTCCTCCATCTCTGATTATGTGGTCTAAACTTGGTTCTGATATAACCCTGCACAATGACACTGGATCAGCCACACTCTATATAATTAATGCTACAACTGAACATTCTGGACAGTACGTCTGTACAGCAAAGCATATGAACAATATCCTGCAGGAAAACATCAATATAACAGTGATGTGTAAGTAAACTGCTTTTTTCAGTCAGGTGAAAATGGTGGATGGCTTTTTCTGTCCTGACACTTAACTGATCTTACACATTAATAAAGTACAAATAAGTAGTAATATTTATCTTGCCAACTAGCAAGGGCAACATTAATTTATAGAGTTGACAAATAGACATTTTTCACCTAGCCAAGCGTCCGTGTACCTACCTCTCAGATGTTTTGTTAACATGGAGCCAAACATCCTGATCAACTCGTTGTATGTGTCAGGGTTTCAGGTTTTCTTTTAATTTACCAGCAGGCTGTTTTCTTTTTTTTCTTTTTTTTTCTTTTCTTTTCTTTTCTTTATATATATATATATATATATACTAAGTATTTGAGATATTTTTCCTCCTTAATAAACCGAATGTGTGTCACAGATAAATGGAAACTTTAGCTCAATGGGAATATAAGTGTTAATGAGGGCAAAACACTGTCTCAGCTACACTTGTCATGCAGAATGTGACAGTACATCGTACCAATGTTGAATGTGAAGTTAATATTTCACTAAAAATCATATTTTACCTTGGTTATTACGTTGTTTATATTTCTGATCATGTCTTTTCAGAGTTTTCAAAGATCCAAACTGTGCAAATCAAAGGAAACATTTGCAATAAACAAAATATCACAACAACATTGTGCACACTACGCATCAGTCAGCGGTGCAGAGATATCTACAGTAGCTACACAACAGTATGAATTTAGAGCAGAGGTTGGCAACCTGCAGGGAGATGTTTAGCTTCTCAGCTGTGGCTCCAGGAAACATAATTTATATATATCAATATATAATCATATACATTTTTAATCAGAATCTGTCACGGTCCAGTATTTTGAGTTTATTATATTTCGGTTTAATTCTGCTTCATGGATTGTTTTCTTATTCTCGTAGTGATGATGATTATTATTTCTTGTTTCTGTTTATCCGTGCTTAAGGATTTGTTCTCAGTTATATCTCATGTTTAGTTTAGTTCAGGTTCCATGTGTCATTCTCTGTCTGTCTGTCTCTCAATGTAAAGTCTGCATGCTTGTTTAGTAATTCATGTTTCCTGTTTTATTGTGAAAGTCTTTGTCTTATGTTAGTGTGTGCAGCTTGGTTCCCCCGTCTCGTTAACCCTGATCTCTCCCAGCTGTGTCTCCCTCCTGTTGCCCATTCGCTGATTACCACCCTGTGTATATTAGCCCTGTGTTTTCCTGTGCTCAGTGTCGTGTCATACCCTCAGACCCTGCCTGTGTGGTCCTGCTTGGTTTTTTGGTTTGGTTTGTGTTTTTGTTTTTGTTTGGTTTGTTTGTGTTTGTGTTTGTGTTTGTGTTTCATGCCAGCAATAAAAGCTGTGGTTTTAGTTACATTTCGTCTCGGAGTCCTGCATTTGGATCCACATTTCCGCCTGCCCGCACACAGAGCCCTGACAGAATCAGAATACTTTATTGATCCCTGGGGGAAATTATTTATTTATTATATCTATCTGTGTGTGTTTGGGTGTGTATGTGTGTTTGCATGTGTTCTCTTCTGTCTTAGAGCAGCTCGTGTGAAACACTGTGGTTCTTACAGTACAGTTCTTCCCTGGATTGTTGCTGGTGTATCTCTCACTTTGAATGCCTTCTGCATAACCTACATATGGTTCCTCTGGTATGTTTCTCCACATGTATGTTTATGTTTTTGTTTGACTCTTTGAATGCAGTCAAGACTTTTAGACAATAATGAGGTTCTGTTTCTTCTCATCAAAGGAATTCAAGAAAAAAGGTGAACCTACATCAGGAGGAGAGAACCTACATGTCACTGCAAAAAGCAGATGTGTCACCAGATTATGATGTTCTTGCACAACATATAAACTGAAAAGTCAGGCGTCAGATTTCCAGTCACAAGTTTCAGAAAGCTGTGCTGTTGTAATGGCAGTCTGTTATTGTTTTGTTATTTTTTACATTGCATTGTAGGGAATGTTTTACATGTAATAAACTACACTTTTTATTTCAACTTATACATAGAGTCCATTAAAATTGTAAACAAAGGAGTCTGAAAGGCAGAACAACAGAAGACCACTAAGATTTATAGCACACAAAACGGATGCTGATTGGCTCAGAGAAGGCCGGCATGATCATCCAATGATGTCAGCACTGAGTTTGACAGCATGACAAGGTAGAAATTATGAAAAGAAAAGACTAGCAGCCAAACATCCAGAAAGTCAGGCAGAGGAATAATTACAGAGATGAATATATCACCTGGAAAATGACACAAAAAAAGTTTACAACTCCACCTTGAACTTTTCCTAAGAAATCATCCACAGGTACAAATTAGAGGCAACAATCTTTTTAAATCAGGGGTCTCAAACTTGAGCTGTGGGCCACTGCTGGCACTCATTGGATTACCACTTAATGTTTAAGTAATACAAAAAACCCAAACAAACAAACGAGAAAACACCTGCCAAACCTTTTGAAAATGTGGTGTTTTGTTTGCTTTTCTAAAAAAAAAAAAAAAAGTTTTATTTAAAAAACATGAACAACAACTAGCATGAAAGCCTGGGTACCACCGTGAGGTAGCTGACAACAGAGTGAAGGGCTGAGCTTGTCTTAAATGTCATTCTGCTGATTGCCATTGATGGATCACTGGCTGCAGAAGACCACTGAGAAAGGCTGCAGCAGATGGCCGCCCCTCCCTGAGCCTGGTTCTGCCGAAGGTTTCTTCCTGTTAAAATGAGTTTTTCCTTCCCACTGTCGCCAAAGTGCTTGCTCATAGGGGGTCATATGATTGTTTGGGGTTTTGTCTCTGGATGTATTATTGTAGGGTCTACTATACAATATAAAGTGCCTTGAGGCGACTGTTGTTGTGATTTGGCGCTGTATAAATAAAATTGAATTGAACTGAATTGCTGGGAGAAGCAGGTGAGAAAATAGGGCTACACCCTCATAGATGGGCACAGGAAAACACAGTGCCCAAGTCAAAAAACACCAGACACTCAGTTTTCTCTTGTTCCTTCCTTACCATTGCTAACTAACATATTCAGTGTATTGCCAAGCAAACACCTGCAAATCAATGTCAGAGTTTCACCTCTGATACTGCTGGATAAACAGAAACTCACTCAGGAACGAGGTCACACAGAGCTCTGGTTTACACTCACCGCGAGGGAAGCAGTTGTCTCCAACCCACTTCAACTTGCTTCCCCCTGCAGGTTGCTTTTATTGTTTACACACATGAATATTCATAAAGCTTGTTGCTGTGTTAACTAAGACAAATTACTATATATGTTTACAAAGTGTGTTGTGCAAGCGTGGTTATATGATGTGAGTGCAGCCCTACCAGGATGTTGTTGTTACCTTGTCCCGCCAGGTGGCTTCCTTCATTGAGTTGAGTCTGTTCTTCTCAAGGCAGATTTTTCTCATTATGAAGGTCGTGCACATACTCATATGCGTGGGTTACATAGGGAGCAAACAAAAGCATTCTAGCTTTTTAAATGACAACCTACAACACATTAACCCTAACATTTATAGTCTTCTATTCTTACTACAGCTCATCATTTGTCAGCACTTCTCTTTACTTTTCTGTCCTCATAATTGTGCTTATTTTCATTTATGTTGTGTTTGCCTGGTAAGTTTGTATGTTTATTACATATAACTGATGTGTGATTTCTCTTTAACACCCTTTAAATTGAAAAGCTAGATTAAAAATGAGCACATAAAAAGTATATCGTTAAAGCTGTTTTTATCATCTTAATGGGGGTTTTTGCACATTTGTCAACCTCTGTGGGCAGCTAGAAAAATTGCATTTCTTTACAATGTTGTGAAACCTGTTGAACTTTACAGCTTTTTTGGACAAGTGTCAGGCAGTTATTCCTTAAGATATGTGCAAAAACAGACTCACAGAGTCTCACATTTAGAAGGGGTTTCTTCAGGGGGCGTATGTGATGTTTGATTTGGCAGATCTTTACACCGGATACCCTTGCTGACATAACCCTAAAGGGATGTGTGTTTTCTCTTTCAAAGCAAACACTGCTCCTGAACAAATTGCTTGTAGTACAGGCTATTCTTTTGTAAAAAATAAAAAATAAAAAATAAAAAAAATCTGTGTAATTCAAATACATCAAAATCATCAGATTTATGTGGTCACAGAGCAAGGTCATGATAAAAAAAAATAATGCTGATGAGAAATCAGAAATGGAAACAGTAACAGGGACTAGATTACAGTTGCAGTATTTTGTTGTCCTTAAGGGCTCATCCTGCTTCAAGGTTCTGTAATTTTAAAGAAAGAGGGCCACTTGTATCGTTCGGCGATCGTGGCTCAAGAGTTGGGAGTTCGCCTTGCAATCGGAAGGTTGCCGGTTCGAGCCCCGGCTTGGACAGTCTCGGTCGTTGTGTCCTTGGGCAAGACACTTCACCCCTTGCCTACTGGTGGTGGTCAGAGGGCCCGGTGGCGCCAGTGTCCGGCAGCCTCGCATCTGTCAGTGCGCCGCAGGGTGGCTGTGGCTACAATGTAGCTTGCCATCACCAGTGGGTGGATGACTGGATATGTAAAGCGCTTTGGGGTCCTTAGGGACTAGTAAAGCGCTATATAAATACAGGCCATTTACCATTTGTATGTCAAAATTCATTTGCTCCTTTAATATGCACATAGCTGAAAGCAAGTTCATTGAAATTCAGTAAAAGAATTTTTGCATAATCTTCACAAAAGACAAACTTACTGAAGACAGATGAATTAGAAGAGGAATAAACAAGTAATGTTTAAAAGATTAAGGTCATTGTAGATTAACCTGTGGACTGCTTAATACATGAACTGTGGCTCACATGTGTATGATTAAACTATAAGCTGTTAGAGAAGAAGTGCTGCAGCAATGTACATTTTTAAAAATCCATGTTTTTTTTAAATACATTAAAGCTTTTAAAACTTATTTTAGTTATCCGAAATCTAATAATGAACCAGCAAATGAGCAAAATGCGGACACCTAAAATCGCTTTAAGTATTCCCTTTACATAAACAACAACACATCTTTCTTTCTTTCTTTTTATATTAGAATAGAATTTTAGTAATGCAGATTTTTACAAAATGCTAATGAATTTTAATTGGCACAAAAAAAATTCTGTTCTTTGAAGGGAATATGATTGAGTCTGTGATGCAACAACCCTGCCAGGAGGAGAGTTTCTTCCTAAAACACAGACACTAGTATACATTAAGTAGACATTTAGTATTTGTTTGATCAAAAAATAGTAATGATGAGAAAACTTATTCTAGAGGCTTCTTAGTAAAGCTGAATTGTTGTCAAAAAGTTGATACACAGATCCCTAATGTTGAAACATGAAAGAAGCAGCCATGTTGGTCAACTCATGGTAGTGCAAATCCATGCAATATTCATTTTATGTATAAACATTTCATAAAGTAGTGAAGGTAAGATTACAGATGAGGATGTCGCATTCAGTCATCATGACTTTAAGAAGAACATTTTGAAGGATTATTGTGATTCAAAGTTCAGTTCTTGTCCTTCTCAATTGGTCCACACTACCCTACAAGTATAGCACATTTAAAATACTTTTTAATGATATCTGCCCAGTTTAATTTATATTAACACATATTTATTGTGTAGTTCTCTTCACGACAACACAGACACAGGTTGGTTCTTTGAAACGGGCATTTATTACTTGGGCTTTCTCTCCTCCTTAGCTTCACCATCGCCAGTACGCAGTGAGAACTGGTCAAGAGTGAATAGTACAAACCAATTAGCAACTTTACAGTACAAGTATTAAGTCCAAACACAAATAAAAACATTTCTCAAATGACAAATACCTTGTTGACTGCTTGTCCTGAAAAGACGTCTTTAAATCCTTGTGTTGCTTTTCTTTAGCTTACCCCACAGACGGACAGCATTTGGGCAGAACGTCCGTTCTGTCTTCCTCAATTTATTAGAAAATGCTCAACATTCAACTTGTTTAAGGCACAGGTTAAAAACTAGTTATGGACAAATCAAGTGTGTGATCATGTATAAGTTGTGTAGTTTTAATGTTTTATTTGGGAATAGAAAAGTCTTGTGTGCTCTCGTTAAGGGTGTTGTCACGAAAAACTAGCTCTTACACTTTACACATGTACATTTCAAATAAAGACATTTTTAACACTAAATATATATTCGTGAAATTATGTAACCCATTATAAATCATTCACACACATCATGAACTCTACACAGAACGTTCTTTAACAGCATTTGCATATTATAATATGTTCTTTTTCTTTCTCTGCATATTTATCATTGCTAAGTAATGCAAAAGTAATGTAGCAAGTAGTATAACAAATTACTTTTTCTGACAAGTAGTTAACTAATGTGCTGCATTACTTTTAATAAATGTAACAAGCAATGTGCAATAAATTACTTTTTGAGTAACAACCCCAACATTGAAGACACAGTATAAGAGGATACTGGGGAACAACAAACTCACACACTATCAAACAGAAGCCAAAATTAAAAAAAAAAAAAAAAAAGCAACAGGAGCTAATCGACTAAGAAAGACCTGATACAAGTTGAAGATACAAATCTGCTTGAATATAAAGAACAACAGAATCAACTAGAAAATACACAATACTAAAAAACAAAATAACTATATACACTGTATATCTATCTGCACTGAACATATATATTTTAACTTTCACGTAGAGTCTTAAGCACATGGTGTATTAAGGTGGTACAGTAACAGGGCAGTTAATGTAAGGGGAGAGTTCTCCTGAATAGCTCACTCTCCAACTCCGGTAACTACACACTCAACATTTTTCATGCAGCACAGACAAAACAGTAACACTGTAGCAGAGATCTTGAACACGTCATGATAAAATATCATATGATATAATCACACACACACACACTGTAAACCTACAATAAAGTGTTTTTATATATGAGAATCACCATTTTATGCATGTAACCTATTGTATAAGATAAGATTGTGCCACTTGCTGTGTAAGATATAATAATTAGGATTAATGTGCGATGTTTGACCGTGTCATGACCTATTGTGATAAGAAAAAGCCAAAGGGTCCTGACTGGCCTCTGGACGATTCAGGACGAGTGGGAAAGTTACCCAGCAGCAGGGGGCGGGGATACTGGTCACTATATATTAGGGGACCAGATGACACCCCAGCACTTTCTTCCTGCTGCTTCTTTCTGTCCATCTCTGTGTTGCTCTGCTGTCTGTGCTTGAGGCTGTACTGCTTTGCTTGCTTTCTGCTATGTAATTCTCTTGCTAAATGTCTGTATGTATTTTTCCTGCTGTTCATGTGATTCAATGTATTAAACTCAGTTCCAAGAATTCTACTTTTTTCCAGAGCATCTTTTTGAGTGCTTGATTTTAATTGGATCTAAAAAAAAAAAAAAAGTTGAATCTCCACATCGTTGGTGGGATAAGGTTATCAGGATAGCTTCAAAATCTGCGACCACAGCTTGTCTGATTAGGTAGAGGATCAATAGGGCGCCCATAAAACAGGGGGACACTCCCATAGGGTTTAAAATCTGGGACTCTCCACCATTTGCTCTTAGAACTGGAAAGTCTTCTCGGATGAGAAGTGAAACGTCTTCAAAAAGCTAAAGAAGTCGAGACGCCTTTCTTTCCAAGCTCCTTAGACTAGAATGCCCTGGATGACTGAGAACCTTCACAGACAAAATAAACAGAAGGCAAATCAAAAGAAAACATAAACCCAAAACCATTAAAATAGTTATTGTTATGTAA